TGGCCAGAAGAGATGGAATCTCGAAGAGGCCGCTAGGGGGCCTGCTCACCACAACTGGAGACTGTTCTCTTTTTCCTGCCAGAGCTTAAGAGGAGTTGGGGCGGGGTGGGGTGGAGCAATGATGGCTTATACTCAAGAAGGAGGCAGCATGGATGTAAATTATATTAACAATTTGCTCGCCAAATCACTCATCTGTGGGACTCCCCAGCCATCCTCTGCTCCATCCCCACCAAAATGATTCTTTGTCATGTCTGCCAGACTCCCACTTGGCACAGGCAGTTGTCTGTACCGCATATGCTCCTTTGTCTCTGAAAAGTACCTGCTTACCCCATGCAGCACCCATTTCAGAACACTTCCCCACACTATCCAGCTAAGTCCATTGCTGCCCTCTCCACTCAGGTATACATAGGTCTACTGCACACAGATGAACCATGCCCTGTGTCTGCCCTCATGTGGTTAAGCATCTTCAGGACAAGGGGTTCCTCACACCAGTGTCCTCCATGCCAGACCCAAGTGTGTATACCAAGTACCCAACATGCTGCTGTTGGAAAGAAGTAGAGACAGGTCCAGCTGTAAAGATTCAAAAAATTGAGATTGGCTAGGGACATAGCTCAGGGGTAGAGTGCTTGCCCAGGATGCACAAAGCACTGGGTTTGATTCCCAACATGGGGACAGGGGAGTGGGGGGCAGTGAATTCCCACACAAGCTTGATGACCTGTATTTGATCTCTGGAACCTACACAAAAGTAGGAGATAAAAAAATGGTTTACCGTGCCTTTAATCTCAGCATTCAAGGGGCAGAGGCAGGCAGATTTCTGTGAGTTCAAGGCCAACCTGTTCTACATAGGGAGTCTACATAGTCTCAGTCAACTAGTGTGACACCCTGTCTCAAAAACAAAAAGTTCAAGGAGAAAAAAAAAAAGTTGAAAGTTGTCCTATGACTTCCAAATATACCATGCATGAACATTATGCACACACAATGACAACATTGGTCGGGGGGGGGGGCTGGAGAGATGGCTCAGTGGTTAAGAACACTGTTCTTGCAGAAGACCGAGGTTCGAATCCCAGCACTCACGTGGCAGCTAACAACTGTCTGTGACTCCAGTTCCAGGGGATCCGACAGCCTCTTCTGTCTTCCGAAGACATTGTACGGCATGGATGCACTTACCTACACACAGGCAATACATGCATACATGTAAAAATAATAAAATATTTTAAAAGGGGGACTTGGGCTGGAGAGATGACTCAGCAGCTAAGAGCACTGACTGCTCTTGCAAAGGACCTGGGTTTAGTTCCCAGCACCCACCTGGCAATTAACAATCTTCTGTAACTCCAGCTCCAGAGGATCTGACTCCCTCTTCTGAGCTCTGCAGGCATTACATGCATGTTGCACACTTAAATGCAGGCAAAATACTCATACACATAAAATAAAAATAAAAATGAGAGAGAGAGGGGCTGGAGAGATGCCTCAGCAGTTAAGAACACTGATTGTTCTTGCAGAAGACCCAGGTTTGAGTCCCAGCACCCACATGGCAGCTAACAACTGTCCCTAACTCCAATTCCAGGGGATCCGACAGCCTCTTCTGTCCTCCACGGGCATTGCACGACATGGGTGCACTTACCTACATGGAGGCATAACATTCATACACATAAAATAAAAATAATAAATAAAATATTTTAAAAATGAAAGAGAGATCCCAGAACTCTGGAGAATGAGGAAGGAGAATATTGAATTCAACATTAGTCTGGACTAAATAGCAAGACCCTGTCTTGAAAAATTGAGAAATGGCTTTATGGAATAGGTATTAAATAGAAGATCAAGGATCTAAAGAGATGTTTGGGTTTGGTTTGATTTTCTGTGTGTGTGTGTGTGTGTGTGTGTGTGTGCAGGTGCTCTTGCACATTTGTGTGTTTGTGTCAGCCAGAGGACAACCTCTGGTGTAGTTCTTCCTCAGTCACTGTTAACTTTTTAAAAAAATGGGCTCTCTTGCCTGGTGTGGTGGTGTATGCCTTTGATCCCAGCACTCGGGAGTCAGAGGCAGGTGGATCTCTGTGCGTTCAAGGCCAGCCTGGTCTACACAGTGAGTTCCAAGACAGCTAGGGCTATAGGGAAACTCTGTCTCAAAAAGACCAAAAGAAAAAAAAAAGGGCTCTCTTGTGGGCCTGGGGCTAGACCTGTCTCCATTTCCCCACTGCTGGGATTATAAGCAGCACCACCATGCCTGACATTTTTACAGGGGTCCTGGGGAGCTAACACAAGTCTTTGTACTTGGCATGGAACGCTCTCTGTAGGCTGAACTATTTCCCTAGCCCAGTTTTAGTTTTTTGGGAGGCAGGATCTGTAGCCCAAGTTGGCCTGGCATTCATGGCAATCTTCCTGCCTCAGTCTTCCAAGGGTGGAGATTGCAGATGTGAGCCACCATATCTGACTTAAAGAGATATATATATGCACACTCATGTTCATAGTAACATGACTATTCACAATCACTCAAATGTGGAAGCAAAATGGAATACATAGACTACACACAGTGGAATATTATTTAGCTTTTTTTTTTTTTTTTTTTTTTTTTTTTTTTTTAAAAAAAAAAAAAAAAAAAAAAAAAAAAAGAGGACGATAAATCGACCAGGCTGGCCTAGAACTCTCAGAGATCCGCCTGCCTCTGCCTCCCAAGTGCTGGGATTAAAGGTGTGTGCCACCATGCCCGGCTATTGTTTAGCTTTAAGAAGGAAGGAAGTCTTTATAGGCTTGGTGGTATAGGCCTGTAATCCCAGCTAACTGGGAGGCTATGGTAGGAGGATTGCAAATTCAAGATCTGCCTAGGCTACAGAGTGAGTTCAAGGCCAGTCTGAGCAACTAAATAAAACCCTGTCTCAAAGTAAAAAAAGGACTAAGGATAGATGTAGCTCAGCAGAGAGCACTTGCCTAGCATGTACTCTTGTTCAATCCCCAAGACCATTAATAAATAAATAAATAAATAAATAATAAAATTAAATAAATGCTGATTATGACATGCTACAACACAGATGAACCTTGAGATTACTATAAATGAAATAAACTAGTTTAAAAAATGGTATACTGTTATGATTTCAGTTGTATGAGGTACTTGAGTATTGAGAATCACAGAGACATAAAGTTCAGTTGTGGTTGTTGGGGGAGGTGGGGAGAGATTGTTCTTTAATA